ATTTATATATAAATGATATTTTAATGGAAGAAAAAAGCCCTCTTTAATAAGTTTTCACAGCTACTTACACTTATATATATATATAGTACTTTATGTATGTGTATTTGTGTCTATGAACAATTTTCATATCAAAGACTTTGTCTCAGATATTTTAAATACAGCAAGTACTGGATGCATCTCAACAAAGTTTTGAGGTAATCAACTGGGTGCTGAACAACTGGCAATAACTAAAATCATTGAAATGCAAGTTAGATACTGATATAGAATAAAATCTCATCAACTTTCAAGGCTTAAGTTAGACGCAGTTGGTTCAAGATCATCAAATGAGAAAAATAGCTCTTCAAATATACAAGGAGCTTTCAACTATGCTTACTGTCGTTCAGCCATAAGTTTATCTCTCTGTCTTCTCATTTCATCAATTTCTCTATTGATTTTCTGCATGTATTCGAGTGTTTTGTTTGCTTCAGTTTTGGAAGCCTAGAATTAGGGAAGGAAGAAGGGATGTAAGGGTTTAGATAGGATGTTGGATCAGAGGTGGTACTGAAAGAGGATTAGGTAGACAATTATACAACGTACATACAAATACCAAAGATTGAGTCACACAAAAATTCTCAATTATTCCCTCTTTTTCACATTTATTCATCCTAAGCCTAATCTGCTAAATTGAGAGAACAGTCAAAGCATATATAAAGCATAGAATATTTTTATATGTTCTTAATCTGAACTAAAACTTTATGGTATCCAAATAAAAGTGCAAAGTACTTATATAAAATTATACTTAACATCATCTAACAAATAAGAAATGCATGAGTATTTAGTAAAAGCTAAGCAGTGGATAAAATACCTTATCTTTACCATAACTGATAGAGAAAAATCTTGAATATGAAAGAAAATAATTAACTGTTTTAAATAATGCTTGGAGATGGCTTGAATGGGTAATGAATAAAACTTTAATACAAGTTTAACATAACAGCAAATGTACAACATTTTGACAAGGTTTTGTCATCATCGAAACATTGTACATTTGCTGTTATGTTAAACTTGTATTAGTTTTTATTCATTACCCATTCAAGCCATCTCCAAGCATTATTAATCTTAAAGTGGGTTCCTCATCATTGAATTTAACTCTTTTAAATCCTCCTTGCTAAATGTTACTGTTGCATGACACCAAGCTGTATTTTTAGTATATATACCACCTTGCATTTTTAGATGGAATGGGAAAAAATTTCAAGTTAATCCAAAGTCTGCTTAGAGTCTATTTACAACTCTAGAAATTACTTTGTTGAGGAGTTCTGACCTTTTTCTTTCTTGGAACTAAAAATTAGACAATGTGCACATTGTTCTTTAAAAACTCACTAATAAATGCCAATATTACAGATATATTAAACAGCATTTGTGCATATATATAACATTAACAACTAAAAATAATAAAACATTAAATAGTTGTACAATAAACAAGATTTACTAAAAATAGGGTACCGTACAGCCCTAAAAAAAGAAAGGCTACATGTTTAGTGTGGTTAAAGTATGCAAGTGTATAAGACACATATTTCACAAACAGTAAATGGGTTTTTAAAAGTTGCAAGTTGAAAACAATACAATAGAAATGATTTTTGTCTTACTAATTATAGCACAATAAATAAAAGTTGTGTTTTGACTTCTTGCTTAACATCCATAATTGTATATTCTTCCAATTTGCTAGAAAAAACTTAAATTCCTGAAATATAAATATAATATTAATTTAATGAGCATTTTTACATGTACTAAATTATTGTTGTTTTGAAGTTTAATAGCCCAAAGCCTTGTGAGCTATCTACACCAATTTTTCTCAAGCAATAACTATACAACTGAAATTAATAAAATAGTGCTATAGCTCAGTTTTATAATAACAGCAGGAAAGTAAGATGTAGGAAATTATTATGTGACTGTCACACTTCTCACACATTAGTAGACCATTCCCTTGGAAGATAAAATGGTGTATAATAAAACTGTGACCAATGTGGAATTTTATGATGTCAACTTCCTCCCTACAATTACAATTTCAATTAGATAACCAAACACAATAGCAGTTTTTATCTGTAAATGTTTGTTGTGTCACTGTTGTATCACCGGCAAGCTGACATGAAACCTTGTCTTGACAACAGGCTTGAAATCCAAGTAAGGAATGGGAATATATGTTATGCTTCCAATGGAGATTTAGCTGCAACATCAGCAAACTCATTCTGCAAGGTCACAACATACCTAGGAATCCAGATAAACTGGATAGAGCTAGATTATAGTAATAAATGAATCTTTTTTGAATATCCAAGAAAAGTGGATAGAAAATTATGTTAGGTAATTCCAGGGCTTTCAGAAGCTTAACAAATTGATATAGATTGTACAATTAATGTACTGCTTAGCTTCTATATGAACAGGTGAATTTGCATAGAACTCAGTAGTGCATACAGAATCTGTTAAGGGGATCCTGTTAGTAACCACAGAGCTGCAGCAAATTATGGCAAAGCCTACACAGATGCCTAATTTTGAGCCATCCATAAAATAAGAACGGAAGGATGACTCAAAAGGTGTTTGAAAGAAAAGACAGTACTTCCAGTCAAGATTATATGACTTCTTCATGTAACTCAATGATAGATCACAGTGCATGGATGATAGAAAAAAACATGGCAGTATGGGTTTAAAATCAAATTCAATACCATTATCCAACGTTAGATACAACTCCATCAACTTTACTTAGATGCCAATGCTAAAAGTATGAACAGTAAAACATCTATTTGCAAAAACAAAGCTCACAAAGACAACCTTCTAGGTGGAATACTGTGGGAGTGATCTGAGCTTTGTAGCATACTTCAAAGCGTTGCAAATGACAGAGGTGAATATTCATTAAAATGTGAACAAACTCTGTACTGGAGAAGTGTGAAAAACTCCTGTGCACAGGGTCCAACATCTTCAATGTAGAATCCCTAGCTGAAGTATGGACCAGAGACATGTAGTCCACTTTACATCAAATGAGGGCATGTTAATTCTGAGTGTAGAGTCATAAGAACAGGAATTTGTGCACCCCCCAGATGGGGCCAAAGTTTACGGTGCAATCCTTATTAAACAGAGAAATACATGAAAATGTTTTTTTAGATTGTGAAAGTTTTAAAACATTTGCAATGGTATATTCACACAATGTACTGAAAACAGTTTGGAGCTGCTGTTCAATGTACTTCATACCTGATGGCCAACAAGAAAGCTCAAAGCCATGAACATACAGGCTGTTTGGAACAATAGAAGGAAGATATTCAGTGACAGCATTAATCTTAATGTTAAAAAGCATTACACTCAAGACACAGCTCTTAGGTATTATAAGTTTCTATGTGAAGAATAAGGATAGTGTTGATCTCAGATGGACTCAGAATTACCTCTCTGTTGTTACCTTATGGATGAAAATTGGTAAATGGCCATGCAACCCATATGAATGAAAATCCTGTAATATACCCAATCTCCATATATTGTTATAAGCCTTCTGAAGATAAAACAAAATATAAATAGGATGCTCCCTTTTGAAAAGTGTTTCCTAATTCTAGTCACTCAGGTGATACACAGTAGGCCTATCTGTGGAAACCACACTGAGTGTTTGATTCTAGGAACCAAACACAACAAGCATTACCCATTCTCTCCAAACTTTACACAGACAACTGGTCAGAGCAACAGTTTTATAATTACAAGGAATCCTGAGATCTTTTTTGGGCTGAGAAAAAGGGATGACAATAACCTAATAGCA